GTCACGAGTTTTGCTTGTCCGCAGCTTGAAGGGCAGTTCCCCCAAACCCCTGCACTCATCTTCTTGAAATTTGGCAGGCTTTGTGGCCTCAGTAAGAGCTACCACTCCTGCAGTTTTGACCCCTCTGTGGTGTAACACATAGACATGACAGGAGTTTTGCTTTCAAGAATTTAAGGTACAGTTCCCCCAAAACCCCTGCACTGATCTTCTTGAAACTTAACAATTTTTATGCTCTCAGCAGAGGCTACCATCTTTGCAAGTTTCATCCAAATTGGACAAAAAACAACAAAGTTATAGATATTTAATTGATTCCCCCATTATACCCTATGGCCAGATCTCTGAGGCAGCTCCAAAGCTTCGGAACCGCTTTGGCCAGATTGAGGCAGAAACCCAGTCTGGGGCTCTGAATCAGATCACTGCCATCTGAAGCGGCCGGATCCAAAGCCAGATCAGATCACTGCCGACTCGCACAGACCTAATGAGCACAGACCCTAGTCCATGCAACTGCCTTACCCACACAGGCCGGCACTCCAACCACAGGCAAAACACTGGTCTGCATGCACGGCAACCAACAGACTTATGAGCAACACCAATTGCCAGTGACCGTCCTGGGTAGGACTTAGGGAATGACCATTGGATACTCACGTGACCGCCCTGCCCGATTCCACTCGGCCATGAATGGCCATACCTAGCACAGGTGCTGCAGACCACCCTCACAGGGACTACTGAGGACAAAGACACAGGAATAGTAAACATATTCGCTGGAGAGGACACAGAAGGCCCACCCCTGGAGGATGTGGGGGGACCTCCCTGACCTGGAGGATGTCATTGGTTCCTGACCATTTCAGGTGGACCAGCTTAACAACCCCGCATTCTGGCATGCCTGTGATGAAGGTCTAGTGCTCTGTAATAATGAGTTGCTACACAAAACCCAGGCCACCCAGGTCCCACGTTCTGAGGTAAGAAATAACCTCTTGTATTGTATTGCTAAAGGGAAAGGGCCAAAACAGAAGATAGACTAGTTGCTGGTGCCACAATGGTACGTGGCCCTCCTAGTCAGGTTGGCCCATGATGGGTCCATGGGCAGCCACCTGGCCAGCGATAAAACAGGCCCACCTGTTGCCACAGTTCTTTTGGCCAGGGGTCTATAAGGAGGTCAAGCGCTACTATCAAATGTGCCTAGTATGCCAGGTGTCCACAACTGATACACCCACTGTAGCTCCCATGGTCCCCATGCCCATTGTGGAATTCATTTAAGCCATTTAAGCAGTTCACTGTGGATATCATGGGTCCCTTCCTGAAGAGCAGTATGGTTTAATCAGTATGTCCTGGTAATAATGGACTATGCCAGCCATTTCCCAGAAGCCATACCACTCCACTCAGTGACGACCCCAAAGATCACAGATGAGCTGCTTAAATTGATAGCAAGGGTGGGGATACCTAAAGAAATTCTGACAGACCAAGGCACAAATTTTACGGCCAAGGTAATGAGGGGACTCTGCAAGGTTCTCCAAGTGAAGTGCCTCAAAACATCAGTTTATCATCAGACTGACAGGTTGGTCTAGCAGTTCAACTGCACCTTAAAGCTGATGTTAAGGAAATGTATACAGGGGGACCCCAAGAAGTGGGACGAAAGGCTGGCAGCCTTGATGTTTACTATCCAAGATGCCTCCCAATTCTCCACGGGGTTTTCACCTTTTGAGCTTACTTAGGGGTATCAGCCACGGGGCCTCCTCAATATAGTACAGGAGTGCTGGGAGCAGCAGGGTCAAACTATCTCTGTGCCAGAGTCCCATCTTGTATACTCCAGATTTTAACCAACACTTTGTTTTACAGACTGATGCCTCAGGAACTGCAGTGGAAGCAGTCTTAACACAGGGAAAAGAATCTGACCAGCAACCGATAGCCTATGCTAGTTGTAAGTTGCTCCTTCATGAACGCTGGTACTTCACCATTGAGTGGGAATGTCTGGCCATAAAATGGGCAATGGAGCTATTCTGGTATTACTTGTTGGGTTGGCCCTTCACATTGGTAAAAATAGTAAGCAGAAACTGACAATGCCTGGATCATGCAGTGGGCATTAGCTCTGCAACCCTTTTACTTCACAGTACACCACCAGCCTGGAAAGAAGCATGTGGTGGTGGGTTTCCTTTCCTGCTGACATGAAGAGAGGGAAGTACTGAGCATTCATGTACATCCAAGTCACAACCTCGAGTCTAGAGGAGACCAACTGGTCAGAGGCAGCCTAGGCATCAATCAGGCAGGGAGTATGTGACAGGCACCATCCCTACTCACCACAGTGCCAGCATTGATATGGCTGGGGCTGGTCTGCAAGTGAGCTGGCGGCCAGCACCACATGACTGGAAGGAGCTCCAACAATTGGTCCAGTGCCCGAAGGCTCTGGGCTTAAAGGAAACCCAGAAGCAGAGCCAGGGGAGAAACACGTGGAGGCACCAGCAGTGGAGCTGGATGCTTTCCCTGTAGCCAGAAGGGACCCAGAGCATCTTTACTGGGCCAGCAGGTCCAGAGGGGAAGCACGTGCCCGTCCCACCACCAGTGTCCAAGGAGGATCCAGACACAAGCTATATAGCCAGCAGGAAGCCGGTCGCTCTCCCCAAGGCTAAGTTCCCTGGAAAAAACCTGGAATCTTGGATCACCTGGGGGCACAGTGGATTAATCAGGTGTCAGCCTGATTGTCACAGCTGGTGGGCCAAGTGGCTCAAACCCAACACCACTCTCCGGCACCTGCAATGACCCCTGCAGGACAAAGTGCAGGTCAACTGGAGCAGGGAGAGGGTGGCCCAGTGGGCAGTGTCAGAGCCTGCCAATGGGAGAACCCAGCACAGGACCCTGCTGGCACCACACATCCTGGCTTAGCATCCACGGACCCAGAGCATCCCAGCAGGGGATTGGTGGAACTGTGAGCGTTGTGCAGGCATGGAAGGATGCATCCTGCAGCATTACAGTACCTGGCCAGGCAGAACCCAGACCAGTGGTGGCTGGTCAAAAGTGGGAGCTCAGACACTGCCCCACCAGTTTCAAAACAACACGATCAATCATGTCATGATTATGCAGGCTGGTCCAGTCGACTACACATATGCACAGTAAGGGACCTTGGGGCAATCTCCTTACCGCCCCAATGGTGCATGCACAGTGGAAACACTTGATCAGTTTGAATAAATGAATTAGCTACTTGTTTAAGCAGGCAGCGTGGTGCCTGTACTGATGCCCCAGCCTGGGGAACAAGCTGTTGGGAGGAAGGCGGAAGATAGGGGGCGCTATGTGTAGAGACATGCACTGGCCCCAGGCAGCCTGCAGAGCAGCTCCAGGAAGTAAGTGCAAAGGGAGAAGGGGATTGAGGCCCCTGTATGGAGGAAGCTGGGCAAGGTTGGGCTTGGGGCTGGGGCCACAGTGTGCGGCTGCAGGGCCCCAGCAGGGAGCAAGACAGGGCCACGTGTGGCTTGTCCAGGGGAGGGGGAGAGCTGTCTCCTTGCTGCTGTGTGCACTGCAGGGGAGCTGGGGGAGATTTCCCCCCTTTGGCCCCCACGTACCAGCCCCAGGATGGCCCACCTGGCTCTGATTGCCCCACAACCTGGTCTGGCTGGGGATCCATTCACAGTGAATAGGGCATCAGCCAAGCCTGGTCATGGGACAATCAGAGCCTGGCAGCTCCTCCAGGGACACGCCAGGCAGCCAAGGGGGCCCCATGGGCCCCCAATCTTTGCATGAGGCACAGGTGGGCTGTAGCTGTGAGCTGAATTCTGCCTGCTCTATGCCTTGCTGCTGCCTTTGAAAGTGGCATGGTGCCACATCATGTGCCTTGCTGCCCAGCCTGCCCAGTGGCAGGACTCACATGGGACCGCACTGCTTTCAAAGGCAGCAGTGAGGCATGGAGCAGGCAGAGCGCAGCTTGCAGCTGTAGCCCACCCATGCACCCTACAAAGAGTGAGGGGCCACAGGCCCCCCTTGGCTGCCTGGTGTCGTGCCCCTGGAAGAGACATTGGGCTCTTCCCAGGGACAATGTGGGGTGGGCACAGGGGTCCCATGGGCTCCATCCCCTCCGGCCCAGCGGTGCAGCCGAGGCTGGCCCCCTTCTGGGCCACCCCAAGTGGTGTGAGGCTGGGGCCAGGGCCAGGTGGCAAATTTACAAGGGCCACCAAAGCTGGGCAATGACTCTGGGTGCAGGGGGAGGGACGGGTGCAGTGGACCGTGGCCCCAGCTCTCCTCCAATCCCTGCCTAGTCCCAGCTTCATTCCCTCCCATGGCCCTTCTCCCTCCCCCTCCCCCCACAGACTTTCCTGCAGGGGGGGTGTGCATGCATGCATGCGCACATGTGTTCAGCCCCCCCATCTCCCCCACAATTTTTTTTTCTCCCTCCACCAATGCCACCTGCCCCACCCATCTCCGAGTTCACCAGCTGTGCCTGACCTGGACCAGAAAGCATGCCCAGAAAGGGACATTGCTAACTTAAGAATCTGTGGGAGAAGGGTGCATCGGGCACCGAGACCCCCACACACTGAAGGGAAGTGCTCAGTGTGGGAGCATTGTTCCTCTGCCCACCAATCCATCCAATCTATTTTAGTTGAATTGTCATTATTTTGTTATTTTTGCAAGCATACAGAACTGCAGCCAGACCCTCTGCACCCATCCTCATCACTGGGCCTTAGCACAGGAGAAGAGAGCCCTGTCACTGAACCTGAGTGTCACCCAGCCAATACTAAACACTGCAATGGAAAGGGATGGGGTGCAGGGGAGGAGAAGCCCCACAGAAGACATGCCAGCAGAGTTGCCCTAGATCCTATGGAAACCACTGAGTGCCATCTCCATGGGTAAAACCCAGTATAACAATAAGCTGTGGTAGGAGAATAAACCCAGGTGTGATGTAGCCCATGAGGCAGGGCACACCCATCAGCTGGTATGGTGTTCATGAGCCTGGCACAGGGATTATGGATTTGGTTACTGGAAGCAGTGAGATGAAGTACCAGAGTTCCAGCACGTACCAAAGTGTAGTCTTCATACTTGGATTTGATCTGCAGCTGTACACTCTTGACCAGGACACTTTCCTTTGTCCCCAGGAAGGCTGTGATGCTTTCTGAAAAGACCAACACCCAAAACAAGTGAGACAGTAGGAGCAGGGAGGTTCCTCAAATCCATTCAGAGACCTGTGAGACCTGAGCACCCATGGGAGGGCTGGGAGAGTGAGGGCGGGGGAGCTTGTGCAGAGCCCCTCCATGCAGTATGGGGCAGTGGGAGGCAGCAGAGATTGTACCCCACCTGGCAGCACTCGCTGAGTCAGGGCTTTTTTTTTTTAAACAAGTGCCGGGAGCTGGGGCAGTTATTGCCAGGCTGGGACAGGGGCAGGGGATGGGCCTGGCCTGGCTGATTTGGTGATTTGGCAGCATTGAATTGGGACAGTGATTCGAATCGCCATATTGAATCACTGTCCCCCAAATCAGCCAAATCTGAAGCAAATAGTAGCCTCTTTGCACAGGCCTAATTATTAGCCAGACATAATCACTACACGGGATAATGATGGCACAGTTGGGAGACCTCCAGGAAGTCTTCAGGGGAATTGTCCTAACAATGGACAGATGAGAGGACCACATCCTTTTATTGGCTGTCTCTTGCCATATTTTACTTTATACCACATACACTTTTTCCCAAAATCAGTGGTCCAAAATTAGGTTTCATGTCTTAAGCAGGGAAATTGATTTTCTTCGCTAGAACAGAATCAGGGAAGAATAAAAGCTGGAAGACACTGGGTGCATCTACACGTGCACTTTAGCGGGGGGTGGGGGGGCAGAGTAGACTAATTAGCTCCCCAGTAAAGAGTCACCATCTATGCGTGTGCCGGTATTAGGGTGCAGTAAAATAGCTAACTCTGTCATAAGACAGTATTGTCAGGGACAGTACTGTTTTACAGCAGAGTACTTACATGCACTGAAATGCATGTGTAGACAGTGATAGGGGCTAGCTGGGGGGCTAAAGTGTGGGGGCAGCCTCAACCAGCCCCTCCACTGCCCAATACAACCACCCAGAGCACAGGGCTGACCCCCACCAGACCTCCTGCCAGCGCAGGGCTGCTCCACCTCAACTCAAAGTGCTACGGTCCCGGGCACATGTGTAGATGCTGCATCTAGGAGTAGTTGACTCTGGCATGAATTGTCCTGGAGTTTATTACTCCGCCTTAACTGCACATGTAGATGTACCCACTGTGTTCTAATGGATGTTAATTCTCTCTGACAAGCAGAAGGGGAGAAATCCTGTGTTAATCCTCACACAGCTGCTATTGGCTGAGCTCTGTAGCTCATGCCTGAAGCAGCAACTGAGCTGCCTCAGGACAAGTGAGCTGCTGTGTACAGTCTCTTGTATCTTGATGAGTCTTGTGGTGTAGAAACAGCACACTTTATTATTTACAATGACTTATATAAAGAATTATTTATAGAAGGAGCATCAAACTTGTCTGGCCCTGGGAGCTGGATGAATGGCATGGGGCCAATCCACAGGCCGGACTGGGCCCACAATCCAACTCCATCCCCATGCCAGATCCATTGCCCGCAATGCCCACTCTGAGATCCACGCTGTATGTGGTGCCCACTCCAACTGGTCTGTAACCCATGCTGCCTGAGGGGCCAAGGCATTGGTCCAGGACTGCACCATGTGTGGCATGCATCCTGGACTGGCTGGGAGGAGTACCACCTGTAGCACAGATCCCAGACCGACCAGAGCAGGCGCTCCATGCAGCACAGTCTTGGACCAGCTGGGGCAGGTGCAGGTCTTGGACCTAGCACCACTTGCAGCACGTCCTGAACCCTGTGTGCAGTGCCCATTAGGTGAGCCCCATGTGGGTCAGGTTATACTCAGGGGCAGCACTGAGGGCTGAATGATAGGGTTCTGTGGGCTGGATGTGGCCTGCAGGACTTCCCTTGTTTTATAGGAAAGAAGTAGTAGCCTTGCTACTGCCCCTGCAAAGCCCTGGGCCTCAGCTTTGTTGCTGTTCTGCCACACGAGGAATTTTTGGCTGCCTCATTCAGATAGTCTCCTGGCATGACCATACTTCCTGAACTCTGTGTTTCCAGGAGGATTCCTTTTACATCACAGTGACCCAAAAACAAAGTATGTATCTTATTTGAGGAGGTGTGATAGGAGAGAAACTATCTCTAAACACCAATGGCTTTCTAATTGCATACCCATTTCTTGTTTTCAAAACAAAGCAGATCTTAGGTTCTTTCATAGTGCTAGACTGCCTGAAGCAGGTATTTGTGCCCAAAAGCTTGCAAAGAACTTTCTTCCAACTATTTAGTTGGTCTAACGAAAGAGATCACATCTACCCAAAAAACCTTGCCTGATGTAAAAAAAAATATCTTTAGCTCCCAAAACCTCTTCTCTCTTGCTGTCACCTTTTAGCTTTACATCCTCTCCTCAAGCACAGTTTTCCCCTTTCAAATTAGGGTTGAACTGGCTGACATGCTCAGATATGGTAACTGAGTAGCTGTGGCTCTTTGATGTCTTTTTGTTTGGATTCTTTCCGTTTGCACAATTGCTTTCACTTTCTCTGAGCCAGGTAAACACCCCTCCCGAGTGTGTGTTCTTTGTAATGAATCTCATGCAGACCACCCAGGAGCTTGTTCTTGTTCCATGTAAGCCTCTTCCCCTTGCCACACTGCAGGGCAGTACGCATCCTGGGATTGCCAATTGTTTTTTCCCCCAATCATTTAGATCATCACAGATGACTTCTGCTTCATCTAGATTCATAGATTAGACACATGATGTTTTGGCAGACAGGCACGGACACAGCTGTACAGGGAAAACTCTGGAATATATGTCTGCTAAAAGAGAAGTTAGAAGCTCAGCAGTTGGCACTTCCTCCATCAAGTTTGGCCTCCCAAGGCTCCTGCACAGATGTCTTCCACAACTGTGTGGTTGCACTCACGTGCAATTTGTGAGCATACTGTTAACAGTGTCAGTTGGGCTCTTAGCTTAAAGGCACTCAATTTTACTATCTGGTCACGTGCTGCTTTTTCTTTCTCTTGCACTGCTAGCTGTTGCTTATACCTTTGACATCCTGTGCCACTATTTCAAGCTCTCCTACATAGAATCCCTACTCATGAAGATGCTCTACTCCATGTGGCTTTTCCACATGGGCTCATCAAGTGACTGCTCTCTCTCAAACAAGCTTAGTTTTTCATTTTGACGTTGAGCAGTCATTAATTTTTCTGTACTCTCTAACCATATTACATTATATTTGATTTTGTTATCTGTTATTCAATTTACTTCTTGTTTGTATATTTTTAACATCAGACAGTGATTTGATACAAATGCTTACTTTGAATATTTAGCAAGAAGGATCCCAACACAGAACCCGTTTTTCCTTTTTCATCAGAGCTTTGTCCTTCAGCCAGATTGTATTTTGCTTCCATATTTCTTCCAGCTGAAAACAATAAACTTGCAGAGCAGTTGTTTTTATATGATACTACTTGTATCAGATACATCAATATGTTGCACAATTGCATTGATCGATTAAAAAATGTGTGCTAACAGTTCTTAACATTCATCTGCCTTTTCTCTCGTGTCCTCCACTTTGCTGAGTGTTTTCATTAGCTACAATTCAATTGTCATTCCAAAAAAATAGTTTTGACCAGTCTTGCAAAAAAAACTATAGATAATTGCAATGTCAAGTCAATTTCCTGCTATGACTTAGCTATCAGTTACACCACGAGTGATACAATTAGTTCACTGCTAACTGTTTGAATTCACTAGCTTGATTTCATTTGACTGGAACAGAATAGTCTCATCTGGGTTTTCTGCATACAGATCAAAATATCCCTGAAATTTGTGAATGGTTTTGTTTAGTAGTCTGCAGTTCCTTTCTGTTCCCATTGGAAGATTTCTCAGACCTCCAAGGCCTTGCAAATGTAGTAGTGGGTAGGGATCTCACCCTCTCTAGTTTCTCTTCAGCACCACCTGCTTCCAGGACAATTTGGGAAAGCTGCCACTGTGCTGGTTGCCACGTTGACCAATACCATCGAGAAATTAAACCAGGGAGAGGGAGAGCTGAAAACCCCTGTTGGGTCTACAGACCAGATTAAAGCAGATGGATGTGCTAACCAGGTCCCAGGGACTTGGTGTATCCCCCACTTTTTCCCCCCACCACTTTCACCATAAAAAGTAGGGTCCCCCATGAATGTCTAAAACATTCTATGAGGTTTTGGAAGAGACCAGAGGCAATGCTCCCAGTCATTGTGCTGCAGGCAAGCAGAAATGTCATCAAGTTAAAGGAAGGGCCTTGTTTTGCTTGGCCAGTTATTGCTAAAGTGGCTATGTCAGAGCCTGAGGGGCTCTGGGAGGATCATCCCTTCTGAGTGCCCACTTGGGACTCCCAGAGCCTTGTTTTCTGAGGTACCAAAACCTGCACATGTTGTTAGAGCCACTGGGAGCTATGGATATGCAGAACATCTGAAAATCAGGCTTCAAGATGAGTATCGACAGTTATGGGACACTTTGGGCCTACTCCATTTTTTCAAGCTTATTGGCAAATCAACATCACAACTAACAAAGAACTCAGGAGTACTGAATCCCAGACTCATGATGCAGTTCCAAGAACCTTAGCAACTGGAGATGCAGAAGCAATGACCCAGTTCCCATGTGATCATCCCTAACAATAAAGCAGGCAGCGAAAGCAAAGCTGTGGGCCATCATCTCAGCATTTTCTGCATGGCCTCTGCATCTGGCACAGCACAGAGAAGGTTGTTGCTTACCTTGCACCTCGCTTGGGATCGCTCCCAGGGAGACAGCCATCTCTGGGGCCTGCTGGAGCCTAGCCCAGATTGGAGCAGAGAACTACCCAAGCAGCATCCTTCTATACAGCCTCAACTCAGAATGAAACGCCCTGCTCAGAGGAAGCAATAAGGTTACTTGCCAACCAACGGAGTCTCTGCTCTGCATCTCCTCCCTCCCCCTCCTACCTCAAGGTGCCTCTTCCTCCCATCAGGCAAGATTTACTGAGCGCACAGAGGCAGTGAAGTGAAGTGAAACTGACAACACCAGCCACCCACACAGACATGGTGGAGCCATGAGCATCTGCACTGACACAAGTCCACCTGACAGGATGGTGCCATGCAAAAGAGCCAGGTGACAGAACAGCCTTTGAGGACAAATTCAGCAGAAAAGGCAGAGTAGTGCTCTGATCAAATGGGGAACTGGTTATTTCCTTCCATTGTGATCTCACTTATAGTTTCCTCCTTCCCAACTGCTGCTCTAGGCCTGAGCTCCCCTTCCACATGCAGAGATCTGTGACTGCACCAACGATCTCAACCACTGTCCACCAGCTACTCCACTCCTGGAAACCCCTGCAGATCTGCTGGTGCCCCTCAACCCAACCCACAGTCCCCTGCTACCCCAACTTTGGGCTCCCTCCCAGCTCTGCCAATGGTGATTTTTTGATGGAGACTGATGATACTGTCAAAGCAGGTCATGTTCTTTCATGTGAATATTTCCCATATGGAGGGGGTCCAACCCTCCTTCTCCCTTCTCAGCCCACAGCCAAGATCTCCAGTGGGAAGAAGAGAACATTTCTTATTATTGGCCTCTTCTCTGGACTCCTGAGGGTTTTGCATTGCAATATAAATCCATAGTTTCATAGTTTCATAGTTTTAGGGTCGGAAGGGACCTAGTAGATCTTCTAGCCCGACCCCCCGCCAGGGCGGGAGAACAACAAAAAACCCCAAAACAAAAACGGGACTCAAATGAGTCCAGCCAGGTAGGCATCCAGCCTCTTCTTAAAGACCCCCAGGGTAGGGGCCAGCACCACTTCCCTTGGAAGTTGGTTCCAGCTCCTAGCCGCCCTAACTGTGAAGTAGTTTTTGCGGATGTCCAATCTATACCTCCTCTCCATCAACTTGTGCCCATTACTCCTTGTTATGCCAGCGGGCACTAGGGGAAACAGCGTCTCCCCCAAACCCTTCTGGTCCCCCCTAGTGAGTTTATAGACGGTCACCAGGTCCCCCCTCAGCCTTCTCTTGTGGAGGCTGAATAGGTTCAGGTCCCGCAGTCTCTCACTGTAGGGTCTGCCCTGTTGTCCCCGGATCATGCGGGTGGCCCTCCTCTGGACCCTCTCCATGTTGTCCACATCCCTCTTGAAATGGGGCGCACAGAACTGGACACAATACTCCAGCTGTGGCCTGACCAGCGTCGCGTAGAGGGGGAGGATCACCTCCTTGGCTCTACTCGAGATGCACCTGTGGATGCACGACAAGGTCCGGTTAGCCCTGCCAACCATGACCTCGCATTGTCGGCCCATGTTCATCTTGGAGTCAATAATGACTCCAAGATCTCTTTCTGCCTCCGTGCTCTCAAGTAGGGAGTTCCCCATTGTGTAAGTGTGCTGCTGGTTCCTACTGCCCAAGTGCAGCACCCTGCACTTGTCGGTATTGAAACGCATCCAGTTCCTGTTAGCCCACCCCTGTAACCTATCCAGATCCTTCTGCAATCTCTCACTCCCTGCTAGTGGAGGACATGACAAAGAAGAACACTTCCCTCTTCAACTTTCCCTAACCTCAGCTTCCAAAAAAGCATTTGCCTGTCAAAGGGCAGCTGGGGGCATTTGTGCTGGCAGCACCTCCAGTTGTAGCCCAAGGAAAACAGCAGCATTTATCCAATGCATTCATCCCTCTACTGACTCCAGTCCTATCTCAAACAGTGCACCTCATACACAATTTTCCATGCTTCAAGCCTTGAATCCCTCTGAAAGCTTCTCTTTCTCTAGCTCCAAAGCTGGCTTTATGGTGGAGATTCTTGCCAAGGCATCAGAAAAGCACAAAAAAAGCACATCTGCCCTCAGCCATTCCTACTATCCGCACATTTCTCACTGACCCATTGCACAGGGTGGAGGACATGGGTTTATGGGTGTCCCACATGATATATTTTGGGCTCAGTTTTCAGAAAGGCTGAGCACCCCCTGTTCTTGATGATTTTATCTGTTGTGGGTGGCAAATACCACTGCCCATTAAGCTCAGGGGGCATGAAACTGGTCACACCAAATCACAGGCCAGTTTTTAAAACATTGACCCAAGTGCCTGCATCCCAGTTCAGAGCTGGCTCAGCTGCAACACACTGCAAAACTTTGTTATGCTGGATTTGGGGCCTGGCTTGGATTCTTCCTAGAACCTCATTTACAAGCACAGACTGGGGAGTTTTAAAGGGGACATCTGGCTTTGGACAGTTTGAAATTCTTCCCTCCTCTCTTTTGGTCCTAGCTCAGGACAGGGGCTGAGCTGTCAAGGAGGAGTCACTTTGGGGTCCTCTCATACGACTCCTCTCTAAGAGTGTTGGCTCCACACCCAAGGAGAGGGGAAGCAAGGCCACAGCTGCTCTCCGTTCTGATCATGAGGGTGGCAGGGAAAGAAATGGCTAAGTCAAACCATTCTTTGTCTGTGGGCTGATGGAGCTGAGCAGGCAACAATGTGTTTTCAGATCCTTTTTATGTGTGAAGGCAACAGAGACAGCCAGGCAGGAAGTGAAGTCCCCACAAGGACTGCTGTCTCCACAGAACTAAACCACAGCTCACAGTGCATCTCAGTACCCACACGGGGGAGACTGGCTGGGAAGATCAGCTCAGGCAGAGACCACCGGCTAAACAAGCCTGGCCATGATTGGGAGGAGGAGGTTTTCTCTTTGCTTCATGAGTCATTCCAGGAAGAGGTTGTCTCTGCTGCCTGTACAGAAAAGGCTGCTTAAGACTTGGTCACAGTGATGTGTATGTGTGGACATGTGCACGTTTCATGGGCCCAGCAGCGAGGGCATGGGGCTGTGCCTAGATCTTCTGGAAGATTGTCCTGGCCAGCGCACTGCGTTCGACCACAGCTGTCCAACTGGCAGCCTGCAGGCCGCATCTGGCCTGTGAGGAGATAACATGCCCTGGTGGGAGCGGGACTCACAACCACACTGCCTGAGCTGTGGGCAGGGAGAAAGGAACTTGTGCTGCCTGCACAGCGGCGTCACGAGGCGGGGCAGTGGTGGTTGAAAGGGGTGGTGGGTTCATACTGCCCACATGGCAGAGACGTGGGTTGGGGGGGACACTGCCCATGTGGCAGGGGTCCTGGAAAGCCCTGCTTTAAACCATGATGGGGTGGGGGGCAGGCAGGCAATTGAGAGCTCTGGCAGGGCTCTCTCAGCAGACGGTGCCAGAGGGGTAGCTGAGCAGTAGGGCTGTGTGAAGCTTCGGTCACCGATTCGATTCGGCAGCCAAATCTCTGAATCCAGATTGAATCAGGAGACCCTTTAATCTCTCCAAATGGAATTGGAACCCTCTGAATTGATTCAGAGAGATTCAATGATTAAGACATAGTCACAGCTTTAAATGTTTTTTCTACATACCTCGAAGTACCAGACGGCTTGTGAACGCTGAGATGGTGGGGCAGATGGAGCATCCCACGGGAGCGCACCAAGTCCCCAGAGTGCTGTGGTGGACCTGAAAATGGACCAGAAGCATTTCCAGTCCACTTCCGGGTCCGTCGCAGAGCGTGCGGGGGACCCCCCCCCGCCAGCTTGGCGACTGGTGCCTCCTGGGTCTGGGGGTGCACCCAGGGTCCCCTCGCGGCTGATTGCCAAGCCAGGTGGGAGTGGAGCACTTTCCCAGCCCCAGCCCCCACCTCACCTCACCTCTGGGAACAAGGAGGTCCAGCCATCAGGCTGGTATTTCCTGCATTCTTGGATCTAGAATATGTATCCCACACATACCATTACCTTCCCCGGGACAGTTTTGGGGACAGCTGGTTCTTCCAGTGGCCTGCAGAAAAAGTTCTTTTAGCAGGAGGGGAGTTCTGCCCTTCATTTACCCATCTGCATTTTAGGGCAGCCCATTCCTTGCCCAGGCCCCTCTCCTCAGGTGGCAAGTCAAGCCCATCACAGCACCTTTCCCCACCACCCCAGGCCCAGGGCTCTGTCGCCGACTTGTCCTGGTGGAATGCACACAGCAGACGTCCAAGGCAGGAAGCCAAGCTTTGCCGTGGGACCTAATGTAGCGTTTCCCTTCCTGCTGCTATGGCCTGCAGGTAGCACTAGTGACACTTCCGGTACCAGCCAGTGAACCTGACAGAACCATTCACTCAGGGAGGAGAAACAAGCACCCATTCACTAATAATGTACCCTTCATAAGCAGCTTTGACATTGCACCCTGGGGAGAGCTGTACTTCTACGAGGCTATTACAGGAGCCAGGGGGAACTAGCTATAGAATCAGGTAAAGGCTTAGCCACGTAGCGCTGATCATCTAGAGCTCAGACATGGGATGAGGCATCCCCCTTGCTTCTGATTGATTTTTGAACCCCATACAGTTCCAGGGGTAAAACAAACTAAGTAAATCCCTAGTGAAAGAATGGAGCTGCTAAACCCCATCAGAGCTGAAATTCTGGAAATTAGGAGGAAAAGCAGAGAGAGTTTAAAAAGTGCTCCACCCTTGGCAGGCACCAGGTGCCAACAAACAGGGAGGCAGTCAGAAGGCAGCTTTATTTCTGGCAAAAGCTTGTTCTGAAGCACTTGATGTTTTTAATAGATTGCAGTTGGCTCAAGCAGGAGGCAAACCATGAAACTATGACAGAAATGATGTGTATGGCACTTCCTGTAAATACGAAACATATGAACAATGTGTTTTTGAGCAGAGAGTACAAAAAAGGGATAAAACCATAGAAGACTTTGTGACTGACTGGGGACTGGAGAGCTAATTTTGCAATTTGGGGGAAGTTAGTGGTCTTTGATAAGAGATCAGCTCATGCTTGGGATCTGGGAAAAATGAGGGTGCTGGGATGGGACAGAGAGACACAGAGGGAGAGGGAGGGACAAAGAGAGAAGTAGAGGGAGAGAGTGTATGCTGAAGACCCAGA